TTGCCCAGTTTTTGCTGGCCATGTCTACTTTGAAATATATGATGAGAACCTGAGTTTATCAGGAGTTACGCTCCGATAACGTTATACCCAGATTTCGTGAAACAGATGGAACATTGTGTTTTCGACGCCTAACTACTCGCTTTCCAGGTCATCTACGAGTACAACCAATACGGAGTACACCATGGTAATCAAAAACACCACGAAATGATATTCTAGTTTCTCACTCTTACTTTTAGTTTCAATTTTCCTTATTCACCTTGAAGATTCAATTCCAATGCCCTGCGCCAGCTTCATGGGTGTATTGGCCCTAAAATTGATTCGACTCTTCGGCTGGAAGCTATGGATCCGTGTGCGCCGACGTTAATCTCTTTCGCGACGATACCAATACTGCCAGCAGTGCGTGTGAGTCGTGTCCAGCTACGTTGCCCAAAACACTGAAACTGCGGTCGCGATCTGGCCTTGCCGCGACTGGCCCGCAGGATTGCGCGTCAATAGCGCCTTGGGATTAACAACCCTCCCTTTTCGCAACGCTTCTCTAGTATCCCAACCGTCTCATCTGGTTGTTTATGAGTCAGCTACTATTGCCATTACATTCAGTAATATAAGCGGCGAAATTACGATTTACGAGTAAGCATTATTGACAAACAAAAACATTACCTAGGATATCTCTGTATCGTCTGATACGGGAGGTATTGTTCAAGACATGGTAACCGCACATAGGAACCGTGTGCCACAACCCTAGTGACCGCGCGATCGTAATGTGTGTTGATGCGCCGCGTGATGTGTGGGCTGTCACGCTGCGTTATTGTCGTGCGTGCGATGCGTGTGTGTGTAGCTGTGTGTGTGTGTGTGTGTGCCTGCGTGTGTGTGCGCGATTTATATGCTCTGCATATGACCAAGAGCGTATAAAGAAGGTACCAGCATGTGCTGCCATCTAGAGTGAAAATAAAACAAGGTCTGGCATAGCCACTGAGCCGCTTATAATGACCAAGGAGCTACATATACCAGATAATAACTACGTATATATGATATATACGTGCTACTGTGTATAATTATTATCCATCGGAGTGATCATAGCTGACAACTGACTCTACGTAGCTGTATTTTATAAGGCGAATCAACCTAAAGTTGATTTTATCAGCAGCATCATAAAGTCACTGCTTGATGGTGTAAATTTCGATGATAGTCGATAATAAGCTAGTGCACCAGTACAACAGGACGACAAGAATCTTTTACTCCATTGAGGGATGATGCGCTAGCAACACGTCTCGATGGCTATGACCAATGGCCTGTGACAAAATCCACAAAGCTTTAACTTTAAAGTGCAAGTCGTTTTTCTGTGTCTCACCATCAGACTGATTCTTGGATTACCATGGGGGTAGGTGTTGTGGTCAACCAGTTATATGAATAAAAATGAAAAGGGTTTCATTGCTTGAACTAACCAGTTAATATTTAATTGTTTCGTGCCAACTATATTCTCATTTGAGAGCTTGATGGTAGCATGGAAGTGACGCGCTTGTCTGTACAAAGACTAGACTGGTACCTTTGTCTCTACATATAGACACTACAACAAGCAATGTGAAGAGACGGTACCAGTCTACATGAAAAAACATAGAATGCAGAGTAACGGTTTTTATTTGTTTATTTCTCGTTTTCAGATTGTAATAATTGATTTTCTACTTTTCTACACCGCACCGGTTGACAGTTCCATTTAGTGGTCTGCAGCCTCTTCCAGCATTAATTCTTCAGGTTTAACCCTGTTAGCATATCTCATATATTTGTCTGTGCATTATAGGCGGCTCCCACATGTTCCATCGCAGTTCCTTACTGGGAATTCTATATAACAATGACCCATTAAGCGAAGTTCACCTCGGCTCGTAACTGTAACACATGAGGTGATTCTCCTGCATTTATTGACAGAAAAACTAGAAACATGAAGCTTCTAGTTTGATGATTAGATGTAAAGAGTTATGCATGTTTGAACAAAAACTGGTAAGTACATCTCTACTCACAAATTAAACACTTTATAAATAATACAATATAGTTAACTGAGTCAATACCCATTTCCTTCCTATGCCTCGTTTTTTGTTACTCACGATAAACAAGGCTTCACAAACTTGCTCTGCACAAATATACGTGGTACACACAATTCCATTTGCTTGTTTACAGTTTCTTTTTGCACATATGCATTCTGGAGGGTTTCATATCCAGCCATTATGAACAATTCTGTGATAGTCTCTAGAGAAAAATAGTAAGCTCTTGTGCCATCCTGCCTGACATAAAAGTTCTCACTAAGTTTATGGCCTGGCTTAAATCTCAACTGTGCATAATCATATAGTCCATAGTCACGGAAGAGCACACATCCTCCAGGTTTCAACACAAGAAACACATTTCGTAGTGCTTTCAGCATCTTTTCAGGGTTGATAGCAGAAAGCACAAACACCATTGTCACAAAGTCAAGGCTGGAAGGGATAATAATATCGCATAGATTGTCCACTGTGAGGTCACACTGAAAGACATGACAGTTGTTTTCAGAATACAATGCATTTTCACGAACAAACTTGACAGCTCGTGGAGAAAAGTCGCACGCATAAATAAAACAATTACTGTTGCTTCCCATATCCTGAAGTAGTGGAAAGAGTAAATTACCCACACCACATCCGACTTCCAAAATCTGCCTGCTCCCAGGAGTGGAACCAGAATCGTGTCCAATGAGTTCTTTGAATTCCTTGGTTATCCAGTGTCTATCCTTAAAGAAGTTGGTACCATTTCGTTTATAAAACAAATCCCAATTCTTCTTAGCATCTTCCTCGAGTTTCCTTTGTGTGAAAGCTGAAACCAAGTTCGTGTCTTTCAACAGCTTTGCTTCTTCACTATGTGTTAATTTTCTAGTCAATTCACTCCCGCCTTCATTTATGGAAGGAAATGAAGTGTCTAGTGGCATTTCCATGTTTGCTTGATAAACACTTGTATCAAGATTACTAAACAACACTACTTAAATTGTAGGTCTATCATTCTGTTCTTTGTCTTTCACATTGGATGTTTTTGTTGCAATCTCATCACTATTCAGGTACTCAAATAGTTCACGGAAGCTGTCAAAATCTCTTCTGCCCTCAGGTCCTGATCTTGGTATGCTTGGCAATATTGACTGCATGCGCTCTCGAAACTCAACAAGGTTGTTCACACCCAATGCTTTCCAAAAGACGAAACAAAACATGCCGACACCAGCAACAGAGTACAGAGTTCCTCTACCGAGTGCACGCATGGCGAGAGATGCTCCAGATTCACTTAACTGTTTGCTACCAAGTAGGCCTTTTGAAAAATGAGTTGGGTCTTGTTTCTTAGCCAGGCCGATAGTAACTGCAGCACCACTCAAAATCGAAACTCCTGCTACGCCGGTGAGGAACATAAAACCTTTCAACTGTTGCCGTCGATTTCTCTCTTCTTTAGGCTCCATTGGGGATATGAACTCACTTGCGTGATTAACTTTTACAAACACGCACACAGATAATGCAGATTACTCTTTGTAATGTGATTTGAGTACCTCACGTACACCCTTTATCAGAAGATTGTCACCCTTCAAACTAGTGGTTTCAAAAATGAACCCATCACTCTTGCACGATGGTATGAAGTATCTTCTCAAAAGACCTGAAAATGAATAAGGTTACAGTCACATTATATCTAATACAAATAGAGTGCACCAAAAACTGTGCACTGACCATTATTAGAAATACATATATAAATATAAATAAATAATCCACGAATTATCATGTTATTATGTGCAAAAACAAAAGGGATAAATATACAGGAAAATTGTTGCACAGATCAGCATTGTTTAAAATACTCCACTTTACACTGGACTGTTTACATACTTTGATGTTATACTATTCCCAGCGACGTAGAATGGGTTACACACCATATCCGTATATGCATTATGAAGCTTTCTGAACATCTACACATAGAAATAATTCACTCAATGACATGCTGCAGGTAACAATACTAGCCAAATAATAATAACACGTCACATTGGCATCTTTTACATCTTACAAGTTTGGAATGTTCAATAATTGTGAATTGTTCAAAGTACAGTCAAACCCATATATCAGCAGTTACTTGATAGAATTTTACATGAGTGTTTTAACTATACAAGATTTTACTGTATATAAGTACTCATTAGAAACTTACACTTCTTATCTCATTATCTCTTATGGTTGTGTTCGATGACTCAGTTACAATAATGAACTTAATCTTTGTATTTGTTACATATCCATATCTGTTACCATGTTAAGGAATATTGCCTAAAAGGATCATTGGCATGCAACTGCTAGATGCAAGGGTGTGTTGTTTATATACATAAGAAATTGGCCTGCAGTTAGAAATAAGCACGATTTCATCATAAGCACATAGATGGCAGAAAAATTGAAGCCAACAATAACAACTGAAAACTGGAAAACTCGATCACTTGATCTTGATCACCTAAACATGCAAACGTGCCTCTGATGGTTGACCTCTAAGGAAACAAGCTGCATGTCATAGGCACTTTGCTAGCAGGAATAACAAATTTTGACTGGGACCAGTCACCAACAAGGAAATGTGATCCACTGGTGTGACAAAAATACTTATAATAGAGCATGGCATCAAATACTAGTTAAAAAGATACACTTTATAGTCCTCTGTTGGATAGAGCAGTCCTAGATACAGCTCTCTCAAATCATTTGCATTCTTGCTCACTGAATTAATGCGCTCATCCACAACATCAAGTGAAGTGTGCACCGTGTAATGAAACTTTAGTTCATTCGCAGTTGGCAGTGTTCTGATGTACAATGGGTAATTCTGCAAGACAAAAATTTCAAAATAATATATATATTGCAATGTTGGCATCACAGCCAATTGGAACGTCTCAATAAAAAAAAAAAGGTAAATAAACAAAATGTATTTACTACCAAAGTCTTAATGTTTCTCTACTCTATTTCGCCTATTATTGCCGGTCTATAATTACCCGTAATTGCCGGTCAAATGCTCATCTGCAACACACAAGTACACCGCACGCCCGCCCTGTGCACAAACAACATGAATAAGAGAGCAGGTAGGAAAGCGTGATAGCAAAATTCGCTCGATGCTCGCTTCATTTCACACGATTACAGAACGAAAAGACAACAAACAGCCTCCATATTGGTATCTATGTGTAGCCAAATGTTCACTTGTTCGAATTATAACTGTCCTTTGATCTTACCTACTCCCGCCAGAGATATCTCGTGAAATCCTGCAGGAAATGTTCTCTCCGTGAAAATGTAAACCGGACGAGATGTCTGTTTATATACGAGTAATGGGGCGCATTGCATGCCGGGTTTGAGCTGCTGCCTGCCTCCGAGCTCCGTTTCGAGGCACGCTAAGCCAAGCATAATGCACGCGGGCATGATGTCACACACACGACCAGGGTTCTCCCCAGGATGAAATTGAAACAGGGGGAGGGGGTAGGCAGTCGTGACGTGCACCACTATTGTTAGGCGCAGATATGCAGACACGCAGTTGCGTACAATCATTGTTAGGACATGCCCACTATTGCAGATGGAGGGTAGGGGAGAGGGGTGGGGAGGGTGGAGAGGGTGGGGGAAGGGGCGGGGGAGGGAAGGGTGGGGGAGGGGGCTTAATAGCAAAAGCAGTTCACTCCTTTGTTAACAGTCAACAAATCCATGTTTAACCCTCCTCTTGAAGGTCAAAAGGTATCAGACACTTACTCTTCGCCACGTCAGTGGAAAGCATATTTCATGGTCCTTTCAATAAAGCCATAAAAATGGTAGGTCACCGCTGAAACAAAAAGTTTTTCAATCGCTCGCGTCACACCATGTCCTCAGAAAATGTCTAAAATCTGCCCTGTGCCCCATTGACCTTTGACCTGGGACCTCCCAAT